CGCGCGGCATCGAGATCGAGATGGGCGGCCGATTCATTCATCGGGCGAGGAAGAAAGGCTCTCGTGGACGCGTATCCCAAGTATACGTGTGCGTATAGTATACTCGTGCCATTTGGCATCGTGTCATCGCGGATACACGTCGCCACGATCTTCATTAATCGGCGCCTCGAATAGCACGCAACCGTCTATACGCGACGTCCCAGCGGCTATCTTTCACGCTCGATCCGCTCGAGTTGAGTCGTCCGCCGTCCACGCGACTTTAATCGTTCCGTTTTTTTTTTTTTTTTTTTTCTCCTCATTGCCTCGATCGAATTGCCACCTCGATCTAATATAAAACGGTTCGACTCGATTAATTTTATCCCCTCCCCGTGAATGTCGCTCGATCCTTCCGGTTCGAAATCGAGACGAAATCGAGACGAAATGGAACGACGTGTTTGCCCGACAGACGATCCGATTTTCAGGTATGCGCGTCACCGATGCGACATTCTTCTCGAGTGGTGTGTACGCTCGCGCAAACGTTGTCGTAGTCAGCGACTAAGGTGGAGCTTCCGTTTCCGGCAATGAACGTGCCGTATACGAGAATCGACGCCGTCTATTACACGCTATATTCGTACGCGTATATCCTCCCTTTCCCCCAACGATACGAACCGAAGGAGATCCGTTTACATTCCTTCGCTTTGCATCTTCGCTACTCGATTTTAATTCGACGCGATTTCCAAATTCGATTAAAGGGAGAAAAAAAAAAAAAATAAATGGAAAAGTGTTCCACGTAAGAACACTTTTAGAAAATCATTCTTTAATATTGAACAATTTAAATCGTAGGGAGAGGGGGGGGGAAAGGGTTGCGACGAAGGCTGAGAATGTTTCTTCTGTATTTCGTCGTCCGTTTTTTTTTATTTCTTTCTCCCCTCCTCTTTCTTCCGTTTCGATCATCGCGTGGCAGAACACTTTCGCACAAAGAGGTTATTAATAAATCGTATCGAGGTTGTACGCACGTTTTGGCGCGCGTTCGGCCGCCAAAACGAAAGAAAGCAATGTTGTGTAGATCGCGAGATCGATCCTTCCGCCGCACTTTATAGACGTGGTCGCGTTATCATGGAAATCGCCTCTCTCTGTTCGCCATATATACCCGCCGGTGTACCGTTGTCGAGTCTCCTTAGAAGAGAGCCGGTTTTCATTTCCTGTCGTTGCGAAAGAATAGCTAACCCCTGTCGATACCTTCCCCGCGTCACTTTTCGACATACTCTGCTGCTTGTCGTTGTTATTTTATATATATATATATATATTTGGAACTGAAATGTTGCTATATAATAGCTCCATCTCTTCGACAAACAGCCAGGCTTTAAATAAAGTAGATCGAGAGAGAGAGAGAGAAAAAATAAAAATTCGTAGCAATTGTGTAGGGCAATCTTAAAAAAGTAATGATTAAATGCGAGCCAAAAAAAAAGAAATATGATAATTGATGAATTATTATTAATCGAATTTATTATTGGGCGATGATAATCGCTGTAAAGACTTCAATTATTATATAAATATTTTGCGCATAAAGTGGATCGAGAGAGAGAGAAAGAGAAAAAATAAAAATTCGTGGCAATTGTGTAAGGCAATTTTAAAAAAATGACGATTAAACGCGAACT